GGAACCTGGGTGATAATACATTTTTTTGCTCACTCGAGAGCTTCATTTGTTCGTTCAACCCTAGTGCCCAGGATTTATCAGGAACAAAGGATGCTTTATGCTTTCTGACACATAAAAAAAGAAATGGTGGCTCACCATTTCTCTGTGATATGCCCTGTGCAAGGGAAATCTACCTCTAACTTTGGAAATAAGAAAGAGGCATATTATGTCACATTGCTCTGAATCTTGGAAATAGGGAACAAGCAATGGGACTTCAGCAGCAGATCACTTGGTTTGTCAGCTTTCTGTAATTCCAGAACATAAATTTCTACTGTGGCTGAACAGCAATTATAATTAATTTAAATCAAGGAAACCATGGCCTTGGTTTTCCTCAAGTCATAGAAACATACTCTTTCTCTATCACTGTCCCAGTACTGAAACCTGTGAGTGAGCTGGAAACTAATCCAGGTTTTTTAGGACTGTGGTTTCTTTCTTTATTTGAATGTAAAATGATTCCCAGCTTACTTTTGGAGGTTGGTATTAAATATAATTTAAGCCTTAAAGATTTTATCATTCAGTTGTAACTAAATGAAAAAAGGGCCATGGGCACACATAGAAGAGCTGAATGCACAGGGATTTTAAAAGCAATGTCCCCCTGAAGCTGAAATGGGGTCTCTGACAATATAATCTTATATGTTTATAGAAGGTTGAAAACAGTAGGACAAAGTTACCATGGGAAACACACCCCAAGTTCCTAACTTGCCACCTAAACCATCAGTATTTTATGGATCATTTTAGGGCAGTTTAAGTAGTCTTTGCACATTATGCACATTTTATGGCCTGTGAGTCATAAAGTACTCTATCAGACATGAAAACACTGTGAGCAACCAGAAGTCATTTAAATAATAATAATTTTAAAAGTTACTTCAGAATATAGTAAAAATGTAAATCTAGAAACAATCGCCAAGAAAAAGGGAATCTGCTGATTTTATAACCCAATTTAGGGATCACAAGAAGGTGTAAGAGTAAATACCACAAGCACAGCTATATACAAATTCACTCCTTCTGCACAAAAGGAACAAGAAGGGTCTTTCCATAAATATGCAAACTGCACTTTCAGATGTAGCTCAAACTGTGGAGCAGTGTAATTGGCGCACCTCATGCCTAGAGAGATCAGTGTTGAGACTGGTAAGTCCCTTGCAGCCTCCTGTGGTCTCACAAATGGCAGGGCCAATGCAAGAGTAGCACCATAGCACAGGGCTGGCCCCGGGGCAGGGACAGCGGTGTGAGCCCCTGAGACTGCTCTGTCCAGGAGAGCTTTTGGGGCACAGCAGCTCTGGGGTAGGGACACCTTCACCACATTTACAAGCTACCTATGGGAATTAAGAAGGAGCCTTTGATTTCGCACAGACAGTACAATTTTTGGTGAAGCACACAGAGAGTGGTCTCAAGCTAACCTAAGACATGGGATGCACATTATTTCTCAAGAAGGTAACACCAATAAATAGTGTGCAGACAAAATCTTTGCATCTGGGAGGCAAACACAGGTCACTCAGAAAAAAAGACACATTTTTGACCAAGCTGTGAGCGTCAATGACTGACAATGTCAACTGCCAAAAAGCAAAGAAATCCCCCTCAGGCATGAGTCCATAGGTGGGTGGCAAGGAGACAGCATTCACTTCTGCAATGCTCCCTGGGGATTTAACACATAAAAGTATCATCAACCTTGAAACTCTGCAGAAACAAGAGACTTCTTGGTGGGACTTCAGGTAAGTAAAATACCGGCCATTCTCTAAACAAAACTTCCATCCCATTTACTGAGACTTGAAGTTGGGTATAGACACGCTTACTGAAACAATTCAACCTCAGTTATCTTGGAGCCTCAATTGTAAGGATTTTAGTCTACATCTTTCAGCCCTCTCTCCTCTCTCAGTTGTTACACTGCTGTCCTTCCCAATACCCTTCCCTCCCTCTATGAACAATGTTATATGGGGATAATCAGCTCATTTGAAAAAACCCTAATTTTTATTGAGAGCTGACAGAAGCATAAAACCCCTTCAAATGTGTCAGAAGTGGGCAGCACACTGATACTTGAAAATGAAAAGCCTTTAAAGAGGAAAAAAGTAACCAAGGAAAAAACTTTAAATTACTCTCCTGAAGACCTGAAAGGATGAAATCCTTTAAAGCCATTAATATTTTGGCATCACTTTGCAGTTATTAAAACTGCACTTGACTGAAGGTTTCCTTCGTAACACTGAGTTATAGAGATAGTACAAAAAATTCAATAACTTTGATTATGTGCTACTTAGTTCAAAATGATAACCTAAAAGGAAAAAAGAAAAAAAAAGCAAACACAAAACCCCAAAAGAAAAACACAACCACCCTCAAAAAAACACATGAAACTGCTCTTCATAAATATAACCCCCAAATAACATGTAAAGAGAGGGAGCAGCACACACCCCCTTCTTTAGCTTTCTCTGACACCTTGCCCTGGGGTCAGGATTTCAGAGTCACCAAACTGGTTGTAGAATAAAACAGAGATTATACAAATTGCATATATTCACATTTACATGAAAATATTCTAGCTCTTCAGAGGGGAGGGGAGCCCCAAGCTTTTTGAGGACCACAATGCCCTAAGCTCTGCAGGTACCCCTGAGCTTCCATACTTTAGGGAAAGCCTGGTGAAGCTCCAACTGCAGCGCTTCACTCCCACTGGTGGGACACTTTCTGGGAGCAGGAACCATGGGTTCTCTTCAAGCAAATGATTTTCCTCAAACCTTGGTGAATGCTTTAGCCAAAAGCAAAAGACGGATTTTCCTCCAACCACAGTACATGCCAAAGGCTGCTAACTGACTACAGCAGGAAATTCACAAGTGCTAGATGATGTTTCACTTTACCTTGCATGAAATGTATGCCACAAACCCCATCTCCCTCCTCAGCATTTCTTGGTGGCTCTTTTCCCATGCAGTGTGATGGCTTTTTAGACGCTTCCTATATACTGTAGAAGGTGCTAGGTTCACAGTTTAAGCTCTCATAAGAAAGTACAGCACCCAAAAATGCAGTTTTGCAATAGCCAAGTGTTCTGCAGTGAAAAGCTTGTTAAAACTTGGTATGTCTAAGGCTCACATTCTTGCCAAAAGATTATAAATAGAGCCTGAATTAGGACTCAAAAGTAACTATTTAACATAATTTTAATCACTTTAAGGCAGGAAATATTTTATACACATGTACTTGTGTCCTGGGTTCAGCAGTAGCAGTCAGTTTTTCTCCTTCATGGTAGCTGGTGCAGCGCTGTGTTTTGACTTCCAGCCTGGGAACAGTGCTGATGACACCGATGTTTTCGGTTGTTGCTAAGTGATGTTTACCCTGACCAAGGACTTTGTGAGGCTCATGCTCTGCCAGGGAGGAGGGGAAGCCAGGAGGAAGCAGAGACAGGACACCTGACCCAGGCTAGCCAAAGAGGTATTCCATACCACAGCACATCATGCCCGGGGCCATACCACAGCATGTTATTTTCTCTTATCATTGTTGTCGTTGGTGGTAGCGGTGGTGATTTGTGTTGTACATTGGTTGCTGGACTGCTCTTGTCTCAACCCGTGGGAGTTGCACTCTTTTGATCCTCCTCCCCAGCCCTCCGGGAGCGGGGAAGGAGAGAGCCCCGGGGGGGGCCTCAATTGCTTCCAGCCCGGCACCACTCACTGGGAGTGAGTGAACAAGCTGTCTGGCTAGGGTTTAAACCATGACAACTTGATATATTGCATTTGGTGCAATAGTAAAAACACAACATTATTTTATCTCACTGCCTTTAAAACCATTCAGTGATTCAAAAACAGTCTGACAATAATTTGATTCTGATAATTACATAGTTTGCCTCCCAGTGACTGATCAAAAGATAGAATTAACTATGAACAATCCATAGATAACTTATCTTCAAAAACATGAAACTGAAAATATATACATGGACCCACAGCAGTTCAGCTGTAACTTAACTGACACCAATAGGTAGTTTTGGGGAAGACAGAACTCTATATTTTTTAAGATTAATTGTAGCATCTGGAATACATTAAATATAATTTGATAAATCCTGACATTAGGAAATTATAAGCCTTTCCTATTATAGACAACATATACTTTCATTATAATTAAGCTTTGGCTTTCTCTTTGTCCATATAAAGAAATACCTGTTCAGTTTCAGTGAAAGAATCTTTCATTATAATCATAAGCATGACTTGAGAAATCTTCTACAGATTAGTATCTTTATTGTATATGCTTCCTTAATCATGTCCTGAATTTTCTAGGCAGAAGGAGAAATGAATTTGCCATACGAGGCAAGATGACTGATTTCAATGTTATTTTCTTGCCTTTTGTGTTTTCTCTTATGAAAAAAAAAAAAAAAGTGATAATAATATAAAATTAATGACTACAAATAAAAGCACCGGCAGGAAAGAGGTCACACCTATTATAAGCCCTGCACTGATTTAGAAAAAAAAAGTCATTATTATTATCAGACACAAGACTCACAGAACATCCTATAAAGCAGTTTCAACATGTTATCTGTAACACGCAAAATCTGGGAAAATGCAACTTTACTTTGTAACTTGAAACACTTTCTGATGGTGAATTCTGCTGGCACACCACAGAGTTTGGTAAAGTCTACTTTTTTTTTATACGTCTATGTTTTACACCCAGAGCAGATGATTCCAAACAGTATCTAGGAGACTGAAACATGACAGATTCTTTTACAGTGTGGATACAGCAACATCATGATGGATCGGCCCCAGCCCCTTGTGCCCAGTGCGCTCCTGACACCTCTGCTGACACACGAGCCCTCTCAGTAGTGTTTCTCATCAGAGATGCTTTCTGCCTCATGATTCCTGCTGCTCTCCAGTTACAAATAAAATAATGCAGTAAATTAAGATGTGCTTATATAATACCAGCACAGAAGTCCTAAGAAACAAAATCAGACAAGCAACCAAGAAAAACCCTGCCCCAAAAGGCAATGTTTAGGCCAAGTTATCCTTCATCAAAGTCCAACAAAACAGTGGTTTGGGTTTTGTTTTCATAAGTTTAAAGATATTGTAATGCTATATATATACATCCGGGTATTTGAATTTTTAATTTACAAATTGAGATGGGAGAGCAGGAAATATCAGGAGAGAGAAGATTGGTGTAGGCATCAATTTTGTTTTAAGACCACAGTTTTCCCTGTTTTCTACCCAGGGAGAATTATACAAGCATTTTATTCCCATTTAATCAGAGTGAAAGGGGTAAAAATGTTCCTCAGAAACAGACTTTGTAAAGTGAGAGGTTATTTGTTATCAACAGGGGCAGAAGATAAATAGGCTGTCTTTATGACACATATGCAAAATGTGGATCTAGAAGAGTTAAGTGTATTTGAGAATACTTTAAAAATACCCCGATACCTAAAAAAAATAAACACAAAAGGCCAAATAAATCAAACATAGATGCTCTTCTAATTTGAAAAGGGCCAGGCAGGAATTCCCCCTCATGCTGAAGCCCAGTTCAGCACATATTTTATCATTAAATTCTGCTTAACCATATCATGGCACAGGATTATGAGGGGAACTCAAGAGAATTTATTTGTCCATTCAACTATGTGTAAAGAACTACAGATATGAAGGGACAGGCTCTTCCAAAGTAGCAGTGAAGATGCAAGGCTGCAACTTCTGCACACCAACCACGTACCAAACTGCAGTCCTCATCTGACAGATAGAAAAGCAACCGGCATACAAACACAGACCAAAATGCAGGAAAATAAATGTCTCTGGAGGTGCATAAGATCACAGAGCAACTTCCTGCTGCAGCACAACTCTGAACTGTGTTAGCAGGCGCAGTATTTCTGTCATTGCTGCTTAGTTATTAACTGGCAAAATCAAGCTTGAAACTCTACTACCCATCCTCTACTCAGCCCGGGTTTCCTGCTGGAACAACTCAGACATGCTCACTGGACAGAGATAACAATGTGGTTCACCTTTTGTAGTTTGAGGTTTCAGACACTAATTAAAAATATATTCTAGCTGTGCTTAGAATGTAGACGTATTATGTAAAAGAGAAACATCAGGCCTTGCTATGTATTCCCTGGACTTGGCTTTTCAGAGCCACAGAAAGCCTAAGAGAAGCCTGCAAATACTTGCGTGGTTTAAGACACTGCAGAGTAATCGGCATAATTTAAAATCCAATATGGCTAATGTCAGTATGGTTTGCTAAGCATGCTGCTTTGAATTAAAAGAAATCTAGTGTATTACCACACTAAAGACTCTTAAGGGACGTTTATTCTTTTGGCAGCTACTTTTAAGCATAGCTATAAACTTTGAGATTAACCAAGATATGAAAAAGTATTTTATTATAATTTTCAATTCTAATGTCTAAGCTGAACAATAGCTGTCTGATTCCATTTGGCCAAAAATCCATCGGTGAAATGGTGAGTGCACATGCCCCATAAAATCAATGCAGACATATGCTGACAGTCAGTTTTGCATTCCCTGAACAACTAAAACTCTAGAAGCTTAAATAGTTACATTGGCAGAGACTTTGATGATACTGAAGGTTAATGACAGTTGCAGCAATAAGAAGCCCAAGGTCAGTTAACGCACAGAGCACACAGGCTGTCTGAGCAGCTCAGTAGATACATACACTGCAACTTGAACTGAACTCTTTAATCATCCGAGGTCCAGCAATTCTAAGACAGCTGTGAGATGTTTACATGAGACACATTATCTCAAGTGATTATACCGTAGATATAACCATCAGTTTATCATAGCCTGGTAGATAAAAACTCCATAGCCTATTTTGAAAACAGACCAATATACATTTTACAGCCTTTTCATGATACTGACATGTTCTTTCCTCCTTGCTAATTGAAAGCTAAGAAGGAAAAACTACCTATTCAAAAAATTTTAAATTGATCTTTGAGATGAACTACACATATAATTTTTTATAAGTGCTCTAGTACTCCTCTCCTTAAATATCAATAGTATCAACTAAGAAGCTTGGCAAAATGAAACCAATTAATCCCTAAACAAAGATGAGACCTAAGGATGTCCTCAGCTATGCAGGAACAATCATGAGTGTAACTATAAAAAGATAAGACTTACTGAAAGGACAGCACCTGTGTGGAAGCCACTACTGCTTGCAGTGCTGTGACCAAGGCTCTTATAATTTCTCTCCTGGGTAGCTTTCATTCCTCCAAGAAGCTTCACATAAACAGCACTGCAGGGAATTACTGATCCAATGAACTCTAGTAGGAAACAAGGCTGAAAACAAGACTAAGTACCAGAAGCCCCAGTAATCCCTTGGAAAACCAAGCTGGCTTTAGGCACTTGGTAGCTCTGTAGTCCTCTGCAGTACCAGCAGATGCTGCCCCTTACTGTCCTATTTCCAGACCTTAAAATGTTGCAGGAGTTTATGTCCCTCTTCAGATTTGTTTGCAGGTGGAAGAATGGAAGAATTAATCTCTTTCCATTGAACCCATGAAAGATATGGCAAAAAATCATTCAGAGACACAACTGCAATAAAATAGCAACAGCAGGCTTTTAGCACTTTGAACATTTTTTTTACAGATAGGAATTCCTAGTTTAATGAAATTTTATAGATTATTCTAATTTTTGACTTAATTTATTGAGGATTTTAAGAAAAAAATCCACACATAATTGGTAAGTCCCCTCCTTCCCTCCCCCCCCCCCCAAAAAAAAATACAACAGATTTAATAATAATCCAAAGCTTCAAATACAATTTTACTGCAGGAAACTGAAGAGTCATCTGCATAACAGAGCTATTTGGCAGGAACACAAAATATTCTGTGCTGTATTAAGGTGCTAGACATCAAGTTGGATATTTTTTACTTTGATGAAAAATAACAAATATACTATAATAATAGATAACTAGCTAGTACAGTTTGCAGAAAGGTTTCATCTAGCTTCCTTGATGGTAGAGTCAAGATCTTACGACATCTCTTGGTTTCACATGTAAGACACCATTACTCCAAAAATCTCACAATGGAAATAACCAAAGTAATTATGCTTTGATCTGAAATCCCACCCGAAAGCCTTGGAAACTCAGCTTTGTCTTGGAATTTTACATATTTAATAAGTCTACCCCTGCTACCTACAGATGACTACGCTGTCTCATATTAAGATATTTGTTTCCAGTCTTTCCCACTAATGGCTATTATTGCAAATTTGAAAGTGCAGTTTAATAGTAAATCATAACAAAAGCAGTGGAATACAGGCATAAGGCAAAAAACATTAAATAGTGACTGGCAGCAAAACAAAGAATGAATCCAAGATATTAGAATGATATGAAAGAGAAAGGGATTTATTTCCTGACATTTTAGATAACAGCCATTTTAAATTACGGACTTAGACTCATATGCTTATCCTATCTGACCCAGTTGCCCCACCACATGGAGACCTAGTTGCCACTATAGCCTTCCTCACTTCACATATACCAGTACACATCTTCAAAGATTAAAGCAGTTAATTCCTGAAGTAGTTGGTGACAGCAAGGAGAACCCAAGCAAATCATATTCATGTGGGCAAAGAAGAAAGGGCAATGCACACTGCTAAGGGGACATAAAAATGGATGGGCAGGTATAGCAGGAATAGGTATGAGGAGGAATCCAACTCTCTCTGGGTGTTCCATGTTCTGGGGTAAAATCTGTATCAAGCCTAGAATGTATGAATGAGTTTTCTTAATCTCTGCAAAATCCAGAAGAGTTTATGCTTCTGAAAGATCACATCTTTGATGCTTTCAGGACTTGCTTATGATAAGCAGGGGGAAAATAAAGACAGTTCTCCACTTTCTTCACTACTCCTCTGAAGTCAGTTTGTCACTGCATCAGTTCTTGGCTCAGTTGCTTTGATTAGATGCTGGCATAATATATTATTTAGGAAAAAATTCCTAGTCATGGATGAGAAGGTCTGAAAACATCATTTAACGGTTATCTCAACCAGATGAAAATCACACAGGAAATTCATCTGGAAAGAAAAGTATGTGTGACAAATTAATCTAATCACTGGTGTAACTAGCCTTAACTCTGGTTAAATAGAGATAAGCCCTTTTGGGAACTGTCCCCTTGTTCTTGGAATATCTCTGCAAGAATAGAAAGATAGAATCTGACAACACCTTTCAAATAGCTCTGTTTACATTTAAATAAAAAAGCTTGAAGAAAAAGAGTCAGAAGAAAATTTCTTCATAGAAGAAATTGTCCCAGGGATTAGGACATTAAGAAACTGATATTTAAAGAAGTGCAGCTATTCCTACTAAGGGGAAAAAAAAAAAAAAAAAGCAAAACCTCCTTTTGTTCATCTTTTCTTCTTTAAAACCCATCTGCTTTTATTTTTTTTTTTTAATTTTCTGCCTGGCTCACACAGAGTATTTAAGTTAGGTTATTTTATGTAAGACTGAAAAAAAAAAAAAGCAGGGTGGTGACTTGGGAATAAGATAGCAATGACCGTATTGTATTTCCCAGCCGTCGCTGTGGCTGACAGAATTGGGAAGATGAAAAACAAGGCTGAAAACATAGGTCACAGGAGGACATCAACACTCATCACAGAAGTCCACAGTTACAGGATCTGCTTTGCAAAGGTTTTGGTGTGTAGTGCTCACATGTTAATCCATTTTGGATATATACATAAAGTAAGAACAGGAGTAGAAAAGCTAAGAAATGCTAGCATGTTTTCAACTTTGAAATGCAGCCATGTTTTTCCCAAGTGTAACAGGAAGAGCTGTGTTTTAAATGAACATAACAATACATATTTAAAACTTTATCTTGAGCCCATCTCTGAAAATTTCTGGAAAAACTGAAGGGCTTGGTCCTAAAACCTTGGCAGATTAGGAGGGTTTGCTGCATTATGTAAATGCAGCACCCTTGGTCTGTGAGGAAAGCCTGAAAATAGCTCACACGGAAATGGAGCAACCAGGAAGTATAGTTTCATATTAAGCCCTTACAAAGGGTGTGAAATTACCTTAGATTGGCGGTAAAGCAGACTGGTGATTATAGTGATTCTCTGAAAACATAAAATGGTATGCAGGTAAAAAGTCATTACACAGGTCTAAGAACATATTTCTTTACCAGAATTAGGGTAATACAAGCAAATGTAGTAGTACATTACTCTGAGAGTTTGTGTCATATTGTGTCCACTCTTTATATTAGAAAACTGGGAAAAGAAAGCAAATATTCTTTCCTCTGCTGAGACTACCACTAAAAACAAAAATGCATACTCAAGTAGATCTTACTGGAAAACACGCACACATTTAAGAGATCATGGCTGCAGTTTTCTGTTCTTCGTTAGAAGTGGAATTTAATTTTTTTAAAGTATTAACAGGATATACCGACTCATGTTAACCATAATACCTACTAATACAAAGTCTGTGGCTTCTAGATGAGAATAGAGATACCAATTCAAAACTTCCACTCAAATGGTTTAAAGGAAAGACTGTCTCTTATATAGAATCACAGGATCACAGAACCACGGAACGGTTTGGGTTTGAAGGGACCTTTAAAGGTCACATAGTCCAACACCCCTATCATAGCAGGCACATCTTTCACTAGATCAGGTTGCTCAAACCCCATCCAAACTGATCTGGCACACTTCCAAGGATGGGGGCAGGGAAGAAGCACCCACAGTTTCTCTGGGAACGCTGTTCCAGTATCTCACCATCCCTTCAGATTTTCTTCCCTGTATCTAACCTAAACCAAACCCCTTTTCATTTAAAACTGTCACCACTTCTCCTATCACTATATGCCATGGTAAAAAGTCTCTCTCAATCTTTCCTATAAACTGTAAAAAGTCCCTCTCCAGCTTTGTGTATGCCCCCTTTAAGTGCTGAAAGGCTGCTGTATGGTCTCCCTGAAGCCTTCTCTTCTCCAGCCTGTATCACCCAGCGTGAGTGCCTTAAGCAATTTTACTGTTTTTTTTTCTGAGTTGGGTAAACTACTTCTTACTCGTATTGGTGCTTTCTGAATCTCTGCTCTCTCTCCCTCCCTCCACCCACTTCCCCCAAGAAAATTCCATTGAAACCAGGTTGTTACTATTTTCTTCTCTACAGACCACACTAGCTCCATCTACTCGCTAGCTCTATTCTTTCCTAGACTGTCTACATAGAGTTATTTCCTTCTTTACTTAAAAAATATGAATCTGTATACATATTTAGGCTGAATAAGGTTCATAAAAGACTCCTAATATTAGAAGGTAGCTCTGAAACACAAGATTTCTTCATAGCACCTGAGAAAAGCATAGGTATAACTGAAGACCTCATAAGCAGGCAATGAATAATAATGGATTGACAGTAAGTTCAAAGAGCCTCAACTATAGGTGATAAAGCACAAAAGACAAAAGCATGGAAGATGGAAGGAGCTTATTTTGAATACGTGAATTCTCAAAGTTATTGGACCAAAAAGGGGTAGTCTTGTGACCTGCAGACTGTGTTGTGCAGATTCACAAGACACAACAACTATGATACCATGTTGATGATACATTTATGAAGGTACTTTCTAGATATTGTTTCATTTTCAAGGCATGGGAAGCCAGTTAGTATTTTGCTTATTTAAAAAGTAACCTTGCTCCAGCACTAACAGCAAAAAATAGAACTGATATAAAATATCCCTTAGTTAACGCTTTGTTTTTACAAATATTATAGTTCTGCACCTCATCAAAGGTTAAAACCTAGTGGAAGAAGGCTACTTAATGGCTGAGTGAGCCACAGCAGCATTTGTAGGATATCAGAGATTTTTTCTAGACACAAAGAAATCTTGAGTAGCATGAAGATTTCTGATGCCTCTCAATGTGCGAAAAACAAGCAATTTTCTCCTTCATTCAAATTACATCCCTCCTGCATGCTCATGAGATGCAACTGAGCTCAGTGAGAGTTAATATATATGCTCACCAGTTTCCTCAAGTTCTTCCACTGCTTCCACTGTGACAAATTATCTTAAGTTGTCCCCATTCAGGCTGACTAGGAAGGGACAGAGAGGATGGCAGAAGATTGTTATTTGAAGGAAAGTAATTTACAGAGGAAACTTAATGCAGAACAAAAAAAGAGGACTTCATTGTTAAATGGCATGCGATAGTGAATAGAAAAGAATACTGCATGATATTTTCAGCTGCCCAACAAAAATGTCATAAATACTAATGGCAGTAATAGCTTAATGGGCAGGCCCCCAGACATGATTACATTTTTGCAATGCATTGTTCAGGCTGATCCATCTGGGAGCAATATTTCAAATTGCCCTCTAGGGACTTGGTCTTTTGACGAACATGTGACTTTACCTCTTTGGCATAATAGAAATTTCTATGGAGATACTGATTACATGGGAAGTAGAGAAAGTTCTCCTAGAAATTAGCCAGAACATGAGAAATTCATTCCCACAGGAACAAAGAACACCCACAGACTTGCCTCAACACTTTTGATCCTCCCTTAGCAGTGTGAATGCTTCAGGAAACTCCTTCCACAACAGAATACACTACTGTATGCTTTTCTTTGCATATGTGATAAGTGATTAACTCATATCCAAAAGATATTTCAATATCGCTAGGGAAGAACAACACTAAGAGTGATAGAGAACAACATCCAGCAAGCAATCAGCATGTCTGCTATAAAACAAGAAGTGCTTTGTGTTTGCAAATCCTACTGATTACTAGGTAAGAGTGTTCATTATGATCCAAATTCATAAGTCTCTAAACAACCCATTTAAACAATCCTGACTGTAGAGATCAGGAAGGACCCTGAGCATAGTACTGTTACTAAAGACTTTTTCTAGTAGCTTTTGAAGAACATTACACTAGAATTTACTTTTCAATCCTTAAAACAAAATAAAGAAACCATATTGGCATTAGACAGCTGTGTTGCCATGTCTTGTGATTTTTATGCTACAGCATTCTTATCCCTTGTATTACCTGCCAGCTTGCTCTAACGGAGTCTCTTGTTCATGATTCTAGGAAGTCATGATTTGATCAGATCATATGTCCATCATGCTGATTTTGTAGAATCTCTTCCTAGACAGTTAAACTCCTTTAAAATCATATTGAAGCTTAGACCATATCTACTCCCCACGACTAAGCATAGCCACAGAAACCTTGATGGAGGCAGCTGCACCAGTGGATAAGAGAGCTGTGCTCGCTGTATTCTCAAGCCCTTGCCTACTGAGATTCAATCTGAGGAGGCAGTCTCCC